GCTCTGACCACTCACCTGATGTTGAGGTCCAGCAGGATCTGCTTCTTGTGGGTACCGGGGTGAGCCCGGACCCCCAGGACCCGGAGGGGCTGTGGGGGGGTGCAGAGGTGAGCAGGAGAGCCTGGGGGGCTGGGGGAAGCATCCCAACCCCCACCCCAAACCTACCTTCTCCCCCATGTCCACCTTGGTGAAGGTGAAGGTCTGCAGGTGGGTGTTGGAGGCGCGGATGGAGGGGGCCACGTTCTCCACCAGGAGCTTCTCCATGTACTGCCCGAAAAAGGGCCAGGCCTGGGCCAGGACCTGCCAGAGCCAGAGGGACGGACACGGGATGGAGGGATGGACACCGGGAATCGGGGACAGAGGCAGAGACGGGGGGAAGGGTGCAGGGATGGAGAGAGGGATGCAGGAGGGAGGGAAGGATTAAGGGAAGGATTATGGGAAGGAGGAAGGATGGAGGGAGGGAGGGATGCAGGGAGGGATGCAGGAGTGGGGATTAGAGGGATGCCGGGAGGGATGCAGGAGGGATGCAGGAGTGGGGATTAGAGGGATGCCGGGAGGGATGCAGGAGGGATGCGCAGGGCGGAGGGAGGGCTGTACAGACGGCAGGGAGCGGGGCCGGATGGACAGACGGACGCCTCACCTTGTTCAGCCATTCCGCCCGCTCCACATCCGGGAAGCTGACCTGCGGGACACGGGCGGGGGGGCCATGAGCCCGGGGGCACCCTGAGCCCGGGGGGGCCGGGGAGGGCACGGTCCCTCCCAGCCCCGTGCCTCAGTTTCCCCAAGCTGCGGAGGGACCCCGCCCAGCCCTGTCACCCCCCCAGCTGAGGCCCGTTCCGGGGGGTCACGAAACGGGAGATTTCGGGGAAAGGGGGTCTCGAGAAAGGGGGTTCCCACCCCTCTGGTAAAACGGGGAGGGTTTCGCGCCCCCCTCCCACACCCACCCCATCCGCGGACGGGCAGGAAACGGCCCCCCCGGGCCTGGTGAGTCACAGCTCGGCTGCGGCGATGCCGGAAGGCCCCGGGCGGTACCGGGGGGGTCACCCCGTTGCGGGAATGGACGGGGTCCCCGCACGGGGGCAGCGGGGGATGGTCACGGGGGCCCTCAGTGGGGCGGGGGGCGGGCGGTGACCGGCCCCGGGGGTCCCGCACCGCCGGCAGCTCAAACGGGGCTCGGTGACGCCGCCGGGGGTCCCGCTCAGCGCGGAGGTCCCGGCAAGCGGGGCTCGGGAGCGCATGACGTGCTCGGCCCTGGGGGTCCCGCCCGGGGAAAGCCCCAGCTGGGGTAGCTGCGCAGCAGAAGGCGGGACCCGGGAGGATGCGGTTCCCATCCCCGGGATCCCGCCCTGCGGGGACTGCGAGCGCGACTCGATGCGGCGGGGCCGATTTGGACGGGGGTCCCCCCAGGGTCCCGCCCGGCGGGGAACTCAAGCGGGGTCTGCAGCGCAGCACAGGGGGGAGTGTCCCCAGCAGTGGGACCCGGAGAGATGCGGGAGGATGATGAGGGAGGATCCGGGGGCTGGCGGGGAACCCCAGGAGTCTCAAGCGGGGACTGCAGCACGACACAGGTGGGGGACCCGCCAGAGGGGCCAGGGGAGGACGCGGTGCCCGGTCCGGGGGTCCCACCGGGGGGAATGCGGTTCCCACCCCCGGCGCAGGACGCGGTGCTGGGTCCGGGGGTCACACCCGGCCCTGTAGAGGGGGGGTTTGCCCCGAGCCCTTCCCGCCGCCGCATCCGCGGGCAATAACGGTGCGGCGGAGCCCCGAGCGCCCGGCTTACCCAGGCCGGCAGTTCCCCGCGGGCCGCGCCCAGCCCGGCGGCGGCGGCGCGCACGGCCGCCTCCTCGTCGCGCTGCAGGCGCTCGGCCGCGCGCATCCCGCGCTCCCGGGCGCGGCGCCGCCGCCGCCAGCCCGCGTAGAGCGCGAGCGCGAGCACGAGCGCGCCCGCGCCCAGCCCGAGCAGCCCCGCGGCGTAGGCGGGCAGCGCCCACAGCAGCCGCCGGCCCAGCGCGCCCAGCGCCGCCAGCCCCGCGCCGCTCCCGCTCCGCCGCTCCATCCCCGCGCCGCTCCCGCACCCGGGTCCCGCTCCGCTCCCGGGACCGCCGGGCCACGCCCACGGCCACGCCCACGGCACGCGCGCCTCAGCCATTGGCTGACCTGGGACAGCACCCGGCCACGCCCCGCGCCCCCCCGCGCCACTCATTGGCCGCCCGCCAACCCCAAGCACCGCCCACTCCGCAGTGGGCGTGACCCCGGGAGTCACTTGGGCCACGCCACGCCCATATTCATGAGTGGGCGTGGTTAGGCGAGGGGCGTGGCCGAGTTCACGTGTGTGCATCTCCCCCGCATTGAGGGTCCCCCGGCCCTTCCCGGGGTAACGAAACACTCCCCTGGCAGTCCCGGGACAGCGACCGCCGGGACAGTGTGGTTTGGGGTTTTTTTAATAGCTGAAAACATTACAGGGCTGGCCCAGCCCCAGTGCCACCCCTGCCATGGGACTCAGCCCTGGCACCGGGCAGGGTGGCCGTGTCCTTTCCTGGAGGAGGGGGCAGCCACAACCCCCCCCTGCCCCCACAGAGGTTTCCCCACACGGCAGGTGCCGGACCGACGTGGGGGTCCTGCACCCACAGCCCCCGTGGGAGCCACCAGTGTCCACAGGCTGTGGAGGGTCCGTGTGTCCGTGCTCCTCCCGCTGCCCCCCAGGCTCAGTTCCGCAGGTGGGGGGTCAGTGGGGCATGGCCGTTATCCGCATGCTCTGCGAGGCGATGGGGTAGGTCACCATGGGGGTGGTGGCGTGGCTCATGGTGATGCCCCCGAGGGGCTGTGCCATGGACACGGCCACAGGCGCCACCGACACGGCCACGGGCGCCATGGACACGGGGGGGGCCATGCCCTGGGCGATGGTCTGCGCCAGGGCCGCCGACAGCGGCGCGATCTCGGGGTTCATGGGGGGCGCGGCGTTGGCGGGGGGGGCGGCCTGGGCGCCGGCGGGGGCCACCAAATCCTGCTGGGTGACGGGCCGGGGCTGCAGGGCCTGGCTGCTGAGCGTGGTGTGCGTCTGCGCGATGCTGTGGTTGTAGTTGGTGACGGTGCCCACGGTGGGCGCCAGAGTCTGCTCGGTGGCCGTGGCCGTGGAGCTCAGCGTCATCACCTTGGCCTGGTTGCGGAACTGCGCGTTCTGCTCCAGCAGCACCTCGTTGGTGGCCAGCAGGTTGTTCACCTGCTTCTTGAGGTCCTCCACGCGCTTGCGCAGCAGGACGTTCTCCTCCTCCAGCAGCCGGTACTCCACGGCGCGGGGGCTGCCGAAGCTGTACTCGTAGGTCTCGTACAGCCCCTCCACGCGCCGCCGCTTCAGCACCGGCTCGTGCTCGTCGTAGCGGTCGGGGTCGTAGAGGAGCCCGTCGAAGGGCTCGAAGCGGCGCCCGGCGGGGCCCAGCCCCTGCTCCCGCCCCCGCGCCTCGTACTCGTAGTCCCGCTGCAGGTGCTGGAACTTGCACTTGGCCCCGCGCTGGCAGTCGCCCTTCAGGAAGTCCCTGCAGATGGGCACCTCCTCCTTGCTGTTGGGCAGGTCGGCGGGCGACAGCCCCAGCCCCGCCGCCACCTTCTGGCGCAGGCGCGGGGGCAGCTCCCCCGTCTTCTTGTAGCAGTCCTCGTCCTCCTTGGTGCCGTGGATGAAGCGGCAGTTGAGGCGCACGCACTCCTTGTTCTGGAAGTCGTGGCAGAAGATGAACTCGTTCTTGCGCACGCCCAGGTTGGTGACCTCGCTGATGTCGGGGTGGCGGAAGCGGCAGCGCTTCCCGCGCTTGCAGACGTTCCGTAGGAAGTCCCGGCAGATGTCGTCGGCGTTGGCGCCCACCTCGTCCCCGCCGCCGCCGCCGCCGCTGCCGTTGGTGTAGCCGTCCCGGTCCGGCATCTTGGGGGCGGCTCCGGGTGCTGCGGGGGGAAGGACGGGGTGAGGGAGGCGCCGGAGCGGCTCCGGGACCGGGCAGAATCACCCGCCCCAGGGCACCGGCGCGGCCGCGGGGCCGGCGCGGAGGCGGCACGGCCCGGGAGCTCCCCCACCGGCCCCGGTGCCCTCCGGTGCCCCCCGAGCGGTCCCGGGTGTCCCCACAGTCCCCACCCGCTTCCGGCGCCACCGCCGCCCCGGAGGGACCCCGGACCGCCCCTTTCCGCCGCTCCTCGCGGCTGCCGGTGCCGCCAGCGCCCCCCGAGTGCCGCCAGGACCCGGGCTGAGAGGCCCCCGCCCGTGACAGCCCGGCGGGGCGCACCGGCGCGGCGGGACCGGCCCGGCGGAGCGCGGCCTCCCCCCGAGCCCACACTCACCGCCCGCGGCCTCCCCGCGGCGCCCGCGGTGCCGGAACGCGCGGCCGGTGCCGGCGGCGGGCGGGACCCGCTCGGCACCGCTTCCGGGGCGGCCCGGAACAACCCTCGCGGTGGCGCGCCGGAAGTGCGTCACCTCTACGTCATTCAGGAGCGCCGTCGCAGCGCCGTGTTCGCGTGGGGATTCTCCGGTCCCGGTGTCACCTCCCGGTCCCGTCAGAGCTCCCGGTGCCCGTGCCAGCCCCCCGAGTCCCGGTCCCGTCACACCTCCCGGTGCCCGTGCCAGCCCCCCGAGTCCCGGTCCCGTCACACCTCCCGGTGCCTGTGCCAGCCCCCCGAGTCCCGGTCCCGTCAGAGCTCCCGGTGCCCGTGCCAGCCCCCTGAGTCCCGGGCCCGGTGTCACCTCCCGGTCCTGTCACACCGCCCTGGATCCCGGTCCCGGTGTCACCTCCCGCCCCGCTCCAGCTGCCCCCGGTCCCCGCTCCCGCCACCACCCGCCAGTACCGCTACTGGAGGAGCCCCCGGTCGCGCCTGCCCCGTTCCCGGAGCATCCCCGGTGCCGATCGCCGTTATGAGAGGAATCCCGGGTTCCGTCCCCCTCTCGTTGCCAGAGCAGCCCCTTCCCGCCGCCCCGGTGCCCCCGTTACCGGGGGATCCCCGGCCCCAGGAGCCGCCACACGTTGTTGTAATAACCAGCTTTTATTCACAGCACAGCGGCCGTCACAGAGCAGACAGAGGGGGCCCGGCCCAGCGGGACCCCCGGGGGTCACCGGCGTGTCCTCAGGGTGTCACCGAGGTGGCCCCGGGCCGCGGCCCCGGCGGGGGCGCTCACTTGGACCTCTGCCTCATCTTTCTCCTCTTGCGCTTCAGCCTGGGGACAGAGGGGACAGGGTGGCGGCGTCACCCCCGGGACCCCCCAGACTCCCCTCTGGGGCCCCTCCGAGCCCCCCGGCCCCGGGGGCACCCCCGGGGGTCCCCACGTACCTGCGCATTCGCTTCTTGCGCCACTGCGGGAGAGAAGGAGGGGCCGTTAGAGCCGGTACGGGGGGGCCGGATCCCAGTGCCCCAGTGCCCCATTCCCCCACCCTCCCAGTGTCCCCCGTCCGACACTGTCCCAGTACTCCCAGTCCCAAACCGTCCCAGTGAGCCCCAAGCGGGTCTGAGCCCCCTTCCTCACCTGAGGCACTCGGAACCCTCCTGCATCACAGGTTCCCCCACCCTGCTCCCAGCGAAGACATTCCCGAGGGACCCCAACTCCCACCGCCCCCAGCGACACCCCAGCAAGAGTCTCCAACCCCGGGGACCCCCACCGAGACCCTCGTCCCCTGCACCCCGAGGTGGGACCACCCCTCTCCCCCCGCCTCAGGGGTGTCCAGGCCGCAGGGTCCCCCCCGCACCCTATCCAGGCTCCGCCATTGCCGAGGCGCCATCGGCTCCCCCCGCCTCTCACCTTGGCCCTCATGGCGGGGCGGCGGCGGCGGCTCCGCGCTCAGTCCGGGCGGGCGGGGCGGCGGATGGAGGCGGATAGAGACGGATGGAGGCGGCGGCCGGGGAAGGCCCCAAAATGGCGGCAGCGGCGGAGAGAGGCCCGCGCCGCCCGGCCGGGGGTATTTATAGAGGCGTTAAGCCCCGCCCACGGCGGCGAGGAGCACGACGCGAGTTGTAGTCCCGTGCCCCGAAGCATGGCGGGAGCTGTAGTCCGGCCGCGGGCCGCCATTTTGCGCTGCCCCCCGTTTGGGGGTCCCCAAAGGTGTCCCCACCCTTCCCCCCCCAGAGACCCCTCCGCGCTGCCAACCGTCAGGTTTATTTGGAATATGAGCATCAACCAGCTTTTCTGGGAGTTCCCACTTGTCCAGGGTTTGAACGGGATTGTTGATGCATCACAAAGGCTTTCCTTCAAAAATATAAATATTTACGCTGTAATATAAAATATAAAAAACACCCAAAAAATTAACTAAACCTCCAAGGAGTCTCAGGGGTTTATAAATCCGTGCTGTGGACTAAGAAAGCACATGCCTCCTATCTCCAGGCAAAATATTGGTTAAAAAGGCTAAAATCAGGGGGGTTCCTCAAAATGAGGGATTTTTTCCCCTCAAAATCAGGATCTTTTCCCTTAAATTCACAGTTCAGATGCCAGAGATGCCCAGGATCCCACAACCCACCCCGCACCCACCCCAGAGCTGAAAGAACTGGAGACCAAGAGCACAGAGAGATGGAAAAAAATCCAGAATAAAATCCAATATCGCATCGTTTATTCTCTTTTATTGACTTTGGTAATATTTGCACATGTGTAGTTTGGGGTGGAAAACTCGGATCTTGACGAAGGAAGCACAGCGGCCTGCGGAGACGCCCGGGAATGTTCTTAAAGGCAAAGAGTTTTTCCCAAATTCAGCTCCGTCGGGGGAAGAACCAGAGGTATCGGCAAAGAAAAAAACCTCACATTCAACTCATGGCATCGGGTGGCTTTTTTTCTTTTCTTTTTTTTTTTTTCTTTTCGTGTTTTTTTTGTTTTGTTTTGTTTTTTTATAAAAGTGACTACAAAAAGAGCGATACCCCTGGCTGGGCTCGGCCCCGACCCCGGCGGCTCCGGCAGCGCTTCCCTCAGGGGTCACCTGAGGAACGGCTGAGATTTTCCCCAGTCACAAAAGGTGTGATCCAGAGGGAAGAGTGAGAAATCCTCTGGCCCGAGGTGACACGTGGGAAGGGTGGAATGTGCTCCCGGGCCACAGGGAATTCGACTCGCCTGCCCCTCCGCAGGGCCGGAATGTCAGCGGCTTCCAAGGATTTGGACGATTTAAAAACGAGTTTGTGTTAAAAAGAGCGAGTTTATCCCTTAAATGAAGGCAGAGACGGAACGGAGCAGCCAGACCACTCTCCCAGGGGACCTCCAATTTGCTATTTTTCCCAATCATAAATATAAATCCAGAGGGAAAAGATAAATCCTCTGGCACCATGTCCTGGATCACTCACACAGGGCACTTTTCTGGGTGTAATTAGCTGCTTTTGGGTGTGGTTTTTTTGTCCTCCATTAAAATTTGTAAAGGGAAAAATTAAAAAATATAAAAGGAGGATGAGGAGGAAGAGGAGAAGGAGGAGGAAGGAAGCAGGCGGCTCCCTACACTCCCTCTCACTGGATTGGGATTGATTCTCCTCTTCAAATGTGGGAAATATAAAAGGTTAAAGATTTGATAGTGACTTTTACTCCTAATTTTATTTTTTCTGCTCTTTTTTCAGTCATCTGAAGTGGCCGAGAGATTCCTCCCTGCTTGGCAAAGTCAAAAGGAGCTGCTTGGAGTCAGTGGGAAGTCCAGACTGTCCAGTCCTGAGGGGACCAACAGTGCCAGATTATTTTGCTTCTGGTTGGATTTTTTTTGGGGGGAAAAGGGGCCATTTGAGTGATTTGGGGGCTCTCAGTCGCCAGCCTCGTTCTCCTCCGCCGTCTCTCCCGTGGTGGCATTTTCTGCGTTCTTGGAAGCCTGGGGGGCAAACCGGGAACAGATCAGAGCTGGGGGGGTCCCACATGGACACAGCCCACTCCTGCTTCCTGAGGTGGGAGAGCACTGAAATGAACCCAAAACACGGGACCTGGGAGTGTCTGGGCACTGCTGAGCCACAAGTTTCCACAGGGAAATGGACAAATTCCCACAAGGAATGAACAAATTACCTTCTTTTTCTTCTTTTTCTGGGTCTTCCGGCTTGCAGAGCTTTGTAGAAGGGCCTGGAGAGAGGAAGGAAACGTGAGGAGCTGGAAAATTACTTTTTTTTTTTATTCAGGAGAATAGGGAACACCATTAGAGGAGAATTAAGAGGGGAACGGCAGGGAAATCCTCAGGGGCACAGGATGGATGGGGAATTCCAAGGTGTGATTCCCTAAATCCTTCCTGGAAAGCACTGGGAGCACTTCTAGATAAATACACATATTATGTACACCATACATCCCTATTACTTACACATTTTTATCAACACATTTAATCCATCTATTAATATTTGTAATTATCAGTACTAATCACTTTTGTGACTCAACCAACCTTCAGCTCTCCGTCCTGCACCTCGAAGTCAGACTTGTAGAGCTCGGGCTCGAAGGGGCCGCTCGTTATCCGCATGGGCCCGTTGGGCATCAGCAGCACCGTGAACTTGAACTGTGCAACGAACTCCCCTGCAAGGCACAGCCCGGGTCAGACCTGCCAGGACCTGCGGGCCCAACCCCCGGAGCGATCCCTGATCCCGGCACTGATCCCCGATCCCAGCACTGATCCCTGATCCCGCACTGATCCCCGATCCCGGCACTGATCCCCGATCCCGGCACTGATCCCCGATCCCGGCACTGATCCCTGATCCCAGCACTGATCCCTGATCCCAGCACTGATCCCTGATCCCGGCACCGATCCCCGATCCCAGCGCCGATCCCTGACCCATCATTGTTCCACGCTCTGCTGCTCCCACCTGGCTAAAAACCACCTCAGAGGAGCTCCTTCAACCTGCCAGGACCCACAGTCCCTGTCCCTGAGCAGCTCCTCCGGCTCCATCCTCCCCTGTTCCTCCCTCACCTGCCCCCTCCCCAGCCAGGACTCACCTTCCTTCTCGTAGAGGACGTTGAAGGGCTGGAGCAGCTCGTGTTTGGTGCATTCCACCACCCCCATCCGGGCCTTCTTCTCGTCCTCAAAAGCCCTGGGAGGAGACACAGACACCTGGGCTCACCTGAGCTCAAACCCAAGCTCACATCTGAGCTCAAATCCCCTGCAATTCCCGCTTAAGCCCATCACATCCTTTCTACACCCTCTCCTGGGCTCGAATCCTGCAAGTCCCAACCGAGGGCAGCCAAGGCCATGCCCTGCTCTGACCTGGGACAGCAAAACACGTTGGCTCTGCACGTATTCCAGCCCTGGAAGGGTGTCCCAGCCCCCCGGATGGGTGTCCCAGCACCATGGATGGGTGTCCCTGCCCCCTGGACGGGTGTCCCTGCCCCCTGGACGCGTGTCCCAGCACCATGGATGGGTGTCCCTGCCCCCTGGATGGGTGTCCCAGCCCCCTGGATGGGTGTCCCTGCCCCCTGGATGGGTGTCCCAGCCCCCTGGACGGGTGTCCCAGCACCATGGATGGGTGTCCCAGCCCCCTGGACGGGTGTCCACACCTGAGGGTGAAGGGCATGGTGTCGAAGCGTCGCTCCACCTCGCTGAAAAAGGCACGGGAGGTTTTCATCTTCAAGCCGTACTGCTTGGAAGGGTCCCTTTTGTAAATCGTGGTTCTCTGTCCTGCGTCCTTCGCCTGGAAACACCAACGGGAGCTGTGGGACACCCGGAGCGGTGCTGCCCTCGGAGCAGCCCCCTCCAGACCCCCCCCAGCCCAAAGGTGTCCCTGGGTTTTTGGGGTGCACTCACCTTTCCCTCTCCGCTGCTGACGAGAACGTCTACAGCGTAAACTTCGTGGACCTCGAACTCGGCTTTTTCGTGGTCCTTCCTGCGTGGAAAAGAGTTTGGTGAGCTAAAAAAAATGGAGAATAGGGAAGAGAAAACCTCCCAAGAGCCCTCAGAACTTGGAATTCTGGGATCCCTGAGGTTGGAAAAGACCTCTAAGGTCACCGAGTCCAACCTGTGACCGATCCTTGTCACCCACAGCACCGAGTGCCACGTCCAGTTGTTCCCTGAACGCCTCCAGGAATGGAGACTGGGATTTAAAGCCACCAAACTCTATAAATATTTAGTGTAAGGCCCAATCCCAGGGGATCCCCAAGCTGCTGGAGCAGGATGGAAGGAGAATCCACGTCATTAAGCTGAAGTCCCTCCTGAGATGGGACTGAGACACCTCCATCCCGTGGGATCCTGGCAGCTCCTGCGGGACAGCCAACAGGTCTTGGCACAGCTCTCAGCTGGCACCACCTCCACGACCAACAGTTGGGATTTGTGCTGGCAGCTTCCAGCAGATCCCCAGAAACTGGACAGGAACCAAGGACAGGTGCCAGCATGGAGCCTCCCCGGTGGCTTCCAGCTTTTCTTTCTCAGAATGACCCCAAACGCAGACTCACAACTCACAGAACCTGGGATGGTTTGGGATGGAAGGACCTTGAAAGGTCCAACCCTGTGATGAGCCGCTCTGGGATGAGTGATGGGACCCAAGGGAACAGCTGGAGCTGTGTCGGGGGAGTTGGATGGATTTTGGGAACAGGTTCTTCCCCCAGAGGATGGTTGGGACTGACCAGGCCCCTCAGGGCCCTGGGCACGGCCCCAAGGCTGCCACAGCTCCAGGAGCATTTGGACAACGCTCTCAGGCCGTGGGATTTGGGGACTGGGGAAGTTTTTGGGGTTGTCCTGTGCAGGGCCAGGAGCTGGACTTTGACCCAGGGCACCCTGACCCCCCCAAAAGCCCCTCACTCACTTCTGCTGGTCCGAGGGGTTCTGGATGATGGTTTTCTCTCCGTCGATCACGTGTTGCTTCAGCTGGTGCGACAACATCCCTGTCGTGAGAGGGAACTGGGCTTACTGGGAGTACTGGGAGTGCAGCTCAGATCCAGGGAGGTCTTCAGGGTCACACGGAAACAGGGGTGTACTGGGAGCTGTACTGGGCTGTACTGGGCCCCTCAGGCACATGCCATTCC